ACTGTCATATATGGGGGGGGGGGGGTACGCGGTAGCGTAGTTGGTTGAGGCACTATGCTACAAGCCGGAAGGTCCTGAATTCGATTTCCGATGTCACTGGATTATTTTCAATTTACCATATTCTTCCATAACCGCATTACGGTCCCGCGGTTGACTGAACCTCTAACAGAAATGAGTACCAGGAATCTTCCTACAGGTAATGGGCGGCCGGCGCATAAGGCTGATCAACTCGCCGCCATCTGTCAGCCAATTGTTTAGAAAATGTGGGAGCCTCGACGACTCACAACTCTATAGGTCTCCACGGCCTGTTACAGGCTAGCTCCACCTTACTGTCATATACTCAGTATGAAGTCGCAGTGTAAAGCACTTACCTGGCTGAGGTAAATGACAGTGACAACAGGGAAGACCGCATTGACGATGGCCACTGTGCGCCAGTGGGTCACTGTTCCCAGCAGGTACTCCAGGAAGAAGCCCGACTGGTAGGATACCCCTGTGGACAACTCATTGCTCTTATGAACTGGGAATGCTGTATGAGGTTTGATCGCCCTGACTTATATCCCCGATCTAGCAGAAAGAAATTTACAATTTTCGATCCAGCATGCTATGAGTAACATTTATATTAAGCTTTGGATCAGGAGATTTAAATCCACCCCGCCAATATGGAGTTGTGGGTGGCGTATATTTCGGAAGTATTGCTATTTATTTATGCTTAAGAAATTCGCCACTACGCCTGCCGAACACGTACATGAGACAACAGCCGATATGCCTTTATTTCATAAAAGGAAAATCATTGAGTTTAGAAGGAATATTCGCCTGTATATTTCGGTTTAACTTATAGTTTGTTCTATTTTATGAAGTGGTGGTGAGCCGGGATAGCGTAGTCGGTATAGCGACTGGATACCGGCTGGACGACCAAGAGGTCGGAGTTCAAGTCACGATAAATTCAAAAATTTTCTCTTTTCCACGTCGTCCAGACCAGCTCTGGGGTCCACCCAACCTCCTATCCAATGGGTACCAGGGGCTTTTGACCAGGGGGTAAAACAGCCGGGGAGTAAGGCTGACCACGCACCTCCAACTAGTGCCGAGGTCAACAAAATATGGATCTATACATCCACTCCCCATACGGCTTCATGGTGTAGTGCTTAATTAGTTAAGTACAGGGACAACTTTACCTTTTTACGAAGTGATCGCTATGTAGTGTTATGTCGTGAAGCTGACACTGTCAGAATTTAGGTGCATATTGACTTCCGTATCAAGAACGGAAACGGATTTTCGAAATGAGAGCTGTAAATACTTGTGTCAGAGTGATTTGTGTCGGTTCCGTAAGCTCTTACGAGCACCGGAATAATCCCAGACCTTTCCCCCTTTTGTTGTCAGGGAGTTCCTAAGATTTAATTAACTACTCCTTTGTAACAGAATTTCTCACAATACCCATATACTTTCCATGGCCTTGAGAGTTCCTTCATCTCAAACCCGCTCTTCCAGTCAGTGTTTCCTTCCTTTCTTACCCGCTGTTCCCGCCAGGATGCCCCGTAGCTCCGGCTGGCTTATCTCGCCGTAGTACGTGTTGAGCGGCGCTTCGCACAGTCCGATGGTGACGCCGAGGATGACTTGTGCTGCGACGAACTGCTCGAAAGATTTTGCAGTACAGACCAGCATCCAGCCGATGAGGAAAGGTGCGTTGACTAGCATCAGGGAGAACTTTCGGCCCAACAGCTGCACAAGGAACCCCGACATGATACTGCCCACGGGCTGGCAGATGTACGGGATACTGGCTGCAAAGCATTCAAACAGACCACAAGTGATAGGCGATATACCGACGTACGCTGCTAATGTGTATTCTTGTTATGCAGATCAAGATTAAGCTGTAGACAGAGAAGACTGTAGTACAATATGTACAGATGACAGAATTAGCAGGACTTCCGGTTTAAGTTGGCATTGTGAGAAGCAGGTTATATGGAGGAAGGGATGGAAATATGAAAGTTACAGATTTTGAAGATTATTCCTTCTGAGATATATCGTCATATAAATGTGGTAGAGAATTACAAACATTTCGGAGGAACCAGCTGCTTCCATCTTCAGTATAGAAGAAGAAGCCGAGAAGGAATACATGGGTACAGAATTATTTTTTCCTCGAAGCTTATCATTCTATCCTGAAGGTGGAGTTAGTAGATCACTCCGAAACGTTAGGGGACGAATAGAGTTGGTGATGGTGGCGCGTAAACAAACACTCACAAAGCATAGAAAGACATATGGGGCTCCTTATTTTTTTTTCTTTTTGAAGACGAAACGTCAGTTAAATGATCTTACATCCCAGAAAAGTCCCAAGAATTGACACCGAGCTATGTTCAGGGAACTTACGTACCAATCCAAGAAGCCTGGACGCTGTCCAGCGAGAGGTCACCTTCCGCAAGATACAGCTGTGCAATCGCTACTGTTGAGAAGGCCAGGGTGATGATAACGTTCAGTGCCACCAAGTTGCACGCCATGGTGGCCAGCACCTGCCACAATAACAATAACTGATGGTAAGAACTACTGAGTGTGTTCTGGAACAAGGCCTACTTTCTCTTAGTGGGTCATTAACGATGAAAATTATGTAGCGTCGGGCTAGAGATGAATGATAAATTGCAAAGGCTTTCGAAGGAAGCGGTAGCGAACATATCAAGTTAGCATGGGAATGAGGAAACACATGAGAATCCCGTGTCAGGATAGCCGGTGTCCCAGCCGAGTTTCTAACCGAAGTCTAAAGCGTTACCTCTAGGCTAACCGCTTCATTAAGGCCCAATGAAAGGACTCTGTTACAATTGTTGAAATTGTACTCTTCATTCATTGGCAATGGTCTTGACTAATTGTACATAGAAATCTGCTATTACAAAACTAAATCACAATGGAGACATTCCGCTAAAATGTATTAAATTTATTCCCTTGTATTTTGGAAATATGTTGTATATTTTAAAATGTCCCACATAACGACCAAGGCATCGATGTTTGAACCCTGTTCACAAGTAGAGATTTTCTCTTCTCCAGCCACCCAAACTGGTTCCGGGGCCCACCCAGCTGTATATATATTGTGTATCGGGGACTCTTTCCCTGGGATAAAGCGACCGGAGCGTTAAGCTGGCCATTTACCTCCGTTAATGTTGAGGTTAAGAATGTATGGAGCTATGCCTTCACTCGTCCACACGTCTTCTTTGCATGGTGTTTAATTAAGCAGAGGGACAAATTCACCGTTCAAATTACCCAAGCAGAGTAATATATTTTATTGTTACAGGTTTATTGCAAGTACCGTGCCCCCAACAGTTCCACAGCCCACATCAGACGTTTACTTCTGGACTGCCTCCAACATGCTCTTAGAGAGCGTGAGAAATTTCTTACCTTCTAAGATACATGGAATGCTGCTTCCTCTGAGAACGTGACATAAATTCTTTCCTTGGACACCTAGGCTAATGTGCACTACTCATGCCCTGGATATCATTCATGTAATAAATTGCCGTATCATGTCAGACGGTAGGAATTGTACGTTCCAAGATTTGTTGTTCTTAATGCTGCGAAGTGTTAATTAATTAGTTACGTTTGTTGGCAGGTAATTCTTCCAGTTGTCTGCATAACCTGCGTGTAGCCTGCTTGGAGATAGCGGCGGTTATACAGACAATGTAAACATATTACAAAAAAATTGGTTTCACTATCTGTATCCAGGTTAGCTTATTGTGTGTTCTGTTGACTTGGCTTAGCTCGGAAGACAAAGCCTACCTGCTCAACATTGCATCATCCTGCAGTATAGCAATTCACGCAGGATAAAAATAGGAATTTTCTGCAAGACCTGAAGCTGAAAGTTGGCTGCCATCAGAGACTGCACGGGGCAGGCTGCCACTTCGAGTACATTGATGTTCCCACGCCATTTTGTTGCTTCTCGAGGGATATGGAAAGTGTTGGCCACATAGCGGACAGTACACGGCTTGTTGTAGACTGATGTAGACTCTGAAGGGGCCTGACTATGATGATTAACACTCAGGATTGTTGGTGGTTTTGGACTTTGTCTATCGTTAGGTATTCTAAAGAACACTAAAGAATACAACGTTTCGGAAACTAAACTAGTTTCTGTCCTCAAATGAGTGGATGGGAGACACGTACTGTTTTGGGTCCGTCAGGAAAGCTAACCCGAACCACTGGAAGTCATGTTCTTTAGTGTTCTTCATAATACCGAACGGCGGACGAAGTCCGAATAACCAGAAATGCCGGTTTTAGATTTACGTTTTGCAAAGAAGAAAGGTACAATTTCTGGGGGGGGGGATAATATTGTGATATAACGTCTGAAAGCCTGAAGAACTGATATAGAACAGAAGTCATTGCTAGGCAACGTTTCGGTAAGAACATTCCCATTGCAACGAATATACACGGAATAATCCATTTGCTAGGCAACGGTTTGGTAAGCACGTTCTCGTAATAACTAAGGAAAAACAGAATAACACGAAATGTTCGAACTGCTAATCTATATTTGGGTCACATAGAAGTTATAAAAGAGTCGTAATCCATTCCACCGTAACCTTGCGAGTGGTATGAGGTGACGAAAAGGAAACCTGGAGTCTGAGATAGTAAAATATGGTCCCACTGGACTCGGACTCGAAAATGACTGCACTGACGAGAGCCAGCAGTAATTGTAAACGCCAGGCACATCCTCTCGTCAGAGAGCGCGCCCCACATCAACGAACCCTCACCTGTAAGATTTGAGGCTTTCACGGCGGTGACTATGAAGAAAGCAGTCATCTGGGATTTGGCACCGTGTATATGTGGTGTTAACCGACGTTTCGGAGGAACGTATCGCCTCCATCTTCAGGGTAGAAGAAAGAATATAAGAAATCTGCAAGCGAAGAGACCGTGAGAACCGGTAAAACCCTCACCTGTCTGACAGTAATAACAATCGGCTCGTAAGCCCCAGATGGATGCTTTATTCCAAGGCAGACTTGCCGACTGACCGTCGCTCGTAACATAAGACTCTACTATTGAGGGAGTTCAGTGAGTCAGTGAGCAGACCTTGGTTCGTCATTCGCCACAGTGGAAGAGAAGCCACTCGTAGTCCAGCAAGGAATGGAGCGGGCCGTAAGCAGCCATTGAGTATGTGTCGTTATAACTGGTTGTAATTGTAACAGAAGTGCCAGTAAATCTAATCATCCAATCCAGAACGCATATATTCGTCACGCAAACCCTTAATAGTTGACAATATTCACGCATGATAAATTGCATACTGATCTTTCTGCAAAGAACCTTTCTTCTTTTTCTTAAAATACGTTCTCATGTAGATTTTAAAAGGTTCTGACGATGGTGGATAAGACAGAGAATTACCGTTTTTTTACCATCGTCCGGGATTCTATGTAATAGAAAGCACGACGTTTCGGAAATTGAATCTTCGTGTTTTCTATTTCCTAAAATACTTGGCAATGGAACAAATCCAAAAACCCAGTAATTCTATATGTTCTCATGGTTACACATAATTCTTTACTAGTAGTCACTATAGGATTCTGACGATGGTGTATAACACACTGATATATTGGGTTTTCGGACTTTATCCATCGTCCTGGTTTTTAAGATAACTAATAAAAACACGGCGTTTCGGAAACTGGATCTGTTTCCGTCCTCAGGTGAAGGAAAACACCTATTCTGTTGGGTCCGTTAGAAAGAGCTAGCCTCAATCGCTGGTCCAGTGAGTGAAGCTAGCTCTTTCTAACGGACCCAACAGAATAGGTGTTTTCCCTCACCTGAGGACGGAAACAGATCCAGTTTCCGAAACGTCGTGTTTTTGTTAGTTATCTTAAAAACCAGGACGATGGAAAAAGTCCGAAAACCCAATATATCATAATTCTTTACTGTTGACAAGCAACGAAGAGTAAAATTTAAAGGTTACGAAATGGCGGAACACAGAATTTTCGCTTTATTTTTCAAACCCAGAGTAAATCTGTACAAGAGAAGCTATAATTCTATTCGAGATATCTCGTTAATAATATCGAAACGGGTATCCTAAATGAGTACACTTTATATCCCCACATTTTATTTATTTTAATTTTTATTCGAGCATTACCCCACCCGCCCATGCGTATCCTGAGAACTTGTCTTACGAGTTGTTGTTAACCAGATACGAGTGTATGTACGTTTTCTTGTTTTACTTATCATAGTTACATTATCAATTTGCTTGTAGTATTTATTTAACTACTTTAACAGTCGTGGGCAAATTATAATGTTCTTTACTAAACACGTATGTTAGGCGTTGCTGTCCTACGTCTGTTCGCGTGTCCTAAATCCTTTAACTTCCTTTGTTTCCCCGCCTCAGTAAAACAGTTCTCATTTCAAAATTCTGCAAACTACTTGCTAATGTAAGTAATAATCGGGAAACAAGCGTATTATCTCCTGGGTATGACAGCTTGTAGTCTGGTAGATCTGTACCAACGCTTCGAACGGAAAATCTGCCTCCACATTCACCGTATAAGTTTACAACCTGATGATGCGCCGTCGTTATACTGTATATGGAAGGTGACATGGGCTGTAGTTATTAGAGGGTCAGGAGAGGAACTGGAGTAGTTGTTATGATTTATTTAACGATGTTGTCAGTGGCTCATATCATACAGCTCAAACAAAAAAACAAAACAAATTCCGTTGCTTGAGTCTGCAAGCGAGCTAGCCGGCAAAGTTAGTGCCAACTTTAACAGATAGAGGGCGTCGCGTGATCAGCGCAACGGATCCTCACGACGGTTAATCTTGGTTTTCTAGACCGGTGCCTCTATTTCCTTGAAATTTCTCTTCAAATATCCTCACGAGGCTGAGTGGACCCTGTTTGAGACCCACTACTTCTCAAGAAAATCTGGTAGTGCCGGGAATCGAACCCGGGACCTCTTGATCTGTAGCCAGGAACTCTGACCACTAGACCACAGAGGCAGTCTACCGTTTAGACATACCGAAAAGTGAATAATGAACTGGGAAAGATAGAGAAGTAAGCAATCGTGACCTTATTTGAGGCATCATTCCTGCATCTGCTGGAGAGAATGAGGACAACCACGAAAATCCTCAGTCGTGACAGCGATATCTGAGCATAGATCTGAATCCAGGATCTCCTGAATGTAAAGCAGAAGTGAGCCTGCTACCGAATTTCAGTTCTGGCCAGCTTCAGTGCAGATACGAAGGAAACAAATGAAACAGGTCAGGAGATTGGGCACTCCACTGGGATTCGAAAGTGGTTCCTCCCGAATATGTGACAGGTGCTCAGTTATAAGATTCGACGTGGAAGCAGATTTGCTTAGTGGGGGGGGTGAGGTCCAACTGGGTCCACTCGGCACGGCGATCACTGATTGGCCTATTGCAGCCTGCCCTCGGTGGTTATGATGATGGAGAATTTCGTGGAATGAAGACTGACAGGGGAAACCGAGGTACTGGGAGAAAACCCGCCCCAGCGCCACATTGTCCACCACAAATCCCACTTGACCAGACCCTGGCCGCCGCGGTTGGAAGCCAGAAA